ACAAAGCTTTGTCATCTTTGCGTCCAAGGAGTTCTCTGACTGAATTTTCTCCAAGACATATGTTTGTTCTTTTGGTAGTTCATGGAATATTCAGGGCTCTTCTCCACCACTCAACTCAAATCTTCTGTCATCCTTATCTATTATCCAGTTCTCAGATTCATAGCAAGTGATTGAAAAGACCATGGTTTCGATTAGGCAGACCTTAGTCTTCAAACTGACATCACTACTCCTCAGTAATTTGGAGAAGTCCCTGACTGCAGATTTTCCTAATGCAAAATATCTCCTGATCTCCTGATTGTTGGTTCCAAGGGTGATGACTGTGAATATAAGTAAGAAGAAATTGTTGACAATGTCAATCTTTTTTCCATTTATCATGATATTCCTTATCAGTCCAGTGGTGAGGATTTTTGTCTTCTTGACGTTGAGATGTAATCCACATTGTAGGCTAGTCTTTGCTCTTTTGCAGCAAGTGCCTTTAACATGCCTAAAAGAACTGGATTTAGAGGAGCAGAGCAAAAGGGTGAACATTCTGGGTCAGCAAAGCTCTTTCACACTCCACACAAAATGGGTTCCACAGGGGTAAAGTTCAAACCTTAAGCATCTCGAAGCCTGACTGTAAGCACTTGCCCTCCACCTCAGCAGCCAAGTGGGCCAGGTCCCGGCGCTTGTCCCCAAGGTGAGCAGCATTCTCCCGGAGTTGCTGCAGAATGTCTTGCTCCTCTTCCTCCAGTCGTGAAAGCAACATCTGCTGTTCTTCATCCAGACGCCTGTGAAGCTCCTCAAACTCCCTTAAGATCTGCTGTCGGCGACTCTCTACCAGTCTCTGAGGACAGACAGAAGATCAGTGGGGTGTGAGGGAGTGGCACACACAGGTAATGCATATGAATTAATAGACATCTGAAGTCACTGGAAATGGTTTAGTAGGACACTGGTTTTTCTCTTGCAATTTCCTTCTGTAAAGAATAGCTCTATCTCCATTGTTACCCTCTAATGAAGACTTTTTAAGTACAGCATAGACCATTGAGGAGGTGAAAAAAAGTCAATTAAAAAAAACTACTTTCTACAATTAAATTATCTTTGAGAAATGTTTTCTTTTTTAGTACAATACAACACATTCAAAGACATCAGAACTCAAAATAATGATATGTAGTACTCAGCTGTTTCAGAGAGAACTATCTCTTCTTGCTATTGCCCAACTCTCAAAGTTCCAGGTAATGCAATGTGCCAAGAAAAGGAAAGTGCAAATACTGAAAAGTTAGAGATAAGATTGTCATTATTTGCATATTGCAAGACATTTACCTGATAAAACCCAGAGAACCATCTGGAAAGGAATCATAAGCATTTAGTAACAAGTTGTTACAAAATGTAAGAGCAGATTTCAGGGCTGATCCTGTTAAATTGTTTCAGGTCACCTCAGGGACACAGTAGTTCCCACTCCAAGAAAAGGTTTCAGAATTTGTTACTAAGTGGCTGCTTAAAATTAAAAATGTACTTTCTTTGAATCATTAACACACACTTAAACTTATGATCACGGCTGAACTTAAATAATTACTGTTGGTTGCTGACTTGTTGATTTTGACCAAGAAATCATAGTAAGGGGCTGAGCAGAACCAGTTCATAGTGTTTCCAAGGTTTTGGAAACAGCTGCCAAGCAATTTCAACAGTAGTTGCAGTTTTCCAAGATAGCTCTGGCTGAGTTGCAATTATCAACCTTTTAGCAAGTAGTTCACTGTTTAACTGTTTGCATCACCTAGGAATTCCTAAAATCTAACACCATAATATAGATTCTGAAACACCAGCTACACACTTTCTGAGCATTAATCATTTAGCACATTGTCCCATCTAGACTCACCTACAAGTGATTTCCCCAAGAGGATGGAAGCAGCTTCTTTTGACTGATGGGAAGGGAAAAGCAAGAGAAAAGCAATATAAGAAGCAGAGATTGAATTCTGGGAAGAAGAAATAGTGAGTGAGTGGAAGGCAGTTCTGAGGGTGAAAGAGAGTGAAGATGAAAGTCAAGCTTGGCATTTCTGGGTTTCAGGCTAGTTTCCAGATGACGAAGACTAGACTAGCCGAAGTTTTTCTCTAGTCACTGGCTGGTTCCTTTCCCTCTGCTGCCCTCAAACGTGGATTCTAGAACAGAATATGATCTCATCACACTTGCCTTGAAAGTGAAACAAACGCCTTCTTCTCTTCTTTCCTTCCATTTTTAGAAGTGATGTGTGGGTAGCAGTTTTAGATTCATACTCAGGTTATATAGAAAAAGAAAAGGCTCCTGGGAGCTCTGGTGGCCTAGTGGCAAGAAGCTGTACTGCAATCCCAAAGGTACATGGTTCGAATCCACCAGATGTTCTGCCGGAGAAGGAGGGACAATTTCCCCCACCAGTCAGATCTGATTTGACGG